GGACCCCTCTCTCAAAAATTAAGGTAGCGCGGGCCCAAAACAGCTTTTCTGCCTACGGGCCCTGGTCCCCCATAACTGGCCCCCCCAATGCCGGGCGTGGTTCCCTTTAAACTCCCCCCCCGGCGGGCTGGGTGGCCCCAAGTCGCCTCACACAGCCTGCTGTGCACCAGCCTGGTCATCCCCAACTGCCCCCCCCTGCTGGCCTGGTCGCCTCACACAGCCTGCTGTTTGGTCGTTACTGTTGCTGTGACAGAGTCCTGGACAATTTGCATATTCCTCTATTATTAGTATAGATTATTCTGAGCCAGGATTTTCCCTGCTTAATCCTACTGCCATTCAGAAAAAGGAGTGCTGACAAAAATAGTGAAGTATATTGATGGTGGAAATTTTGCTTATTTCTTTTTCCTTGGTAGGAATTCCAGTGAGCAGTTAAGGGACTATCAGAAAGCACCAAAAGAAGAGAAACCACAGGGGTAAATTTTCAGAGGCAGTGTGGCAGCCAGGGCTTGAGATGCATGAGGGCGGATGAACCCTGGGCTTGAGGCAAAGGCACAGAACATGCACTGTCTCTCAGAAGATGTCCCATTCTCATGAGAGCAGTTTAGGCCTAAAGCACCATATAAATGTGCCTATATTCTTAGTAATTTCAGTTATTTTTAGGGAGGGAATATTGTATCTGCTGAGTTCATTTACTTAGACAAACAAAATGAATGTCCCTAAACAGTTGAGCCACCAACCCTTTCTCTACACCTATTTAAAAGGGTTCATTTGAAAAAGAAAAGAAACAGGGGTTTACTTGCATTGGGGCTTGGGTTTTAGTTGTGGTTATTTTGTTCTGAATTTCCTTTTCTACCTGCAGAAGGCAGGTGGAGGGAGGTTGCTAAGCAGACACCTAGGGCAGAGATGAGGAAGAAGAGGGTGGGGGACAGAGGGTATAACCCCAACGAGTCCCTGGGCTGTGAGTAAAAGCCAAAGGCACGTTTAGACAATGGCACTTGTGAAAGTTGTGCACAGGCAGTGCTGCTTAGGTGTTTGTTGCAACCAGACTGCACACAGTTGCATCCAGAGGAATTCTCCCATTTCTGTACAGAACACAGTCACTCACTGTGCTGGGGCCGTACCCAGGAGAGCGGCAGCGCTCTTGTAATTTATCTCACCAGTAGTTCCTGGGAGGGAATGGACTTTAATGAGGAAACAAGAGCAGGACTTGATCCTAAACACATTTGAGAAACACCTAGAAATAATCATTTCTGCTTCTTGGGGTGGGGAAGGGAGAACTGACATCCTGGTGGTGAGAGATAATGAGTCAGCAAAGCTTGGGTATTTGTGTCTATGTAACTCCCATATACCCACAAGAGAACATTGGGAAGATAAAGTTTGAAATGTAACCTTATTTTTTACAAGAGTGGTTTTTATAAACTTCCCTTTAAAAAATTTTTTTTTTTGGTATTGATTTCAGAGAAGAAGGGAAAGGGAAAGATAGATAGAAACATCAATGATGGGAGAGAATCATTGATGAGCTGCCTCCTGCACATCCCCCAATGGGGATTGAGCCTTTAACCTTGGCATCAAGCCCTTAGCATGGGCATGTGCCCTGACAGGGATTTGAACTGTGACTTCCTGGTTCATTGGTCGACACTCAACCACTGAGCCACACCAGCTGGACATAAACTAAACTTTTATGATTGGATCACTGATGGATTAATAATAATGAGAGTTCAAACAGATTCAATCCATCAGAAGTCAGCCATAAAAAAAAAGTCAGCAATCACATGTACATTATATAGGAAGTTGCTTGTTTCTGGCTGATATAATGATGAAATTAGCACTTATTGAGTATTGACAAAGTGCCAGGCACTCTTTATTGTTTACAACATTCCTATTATATTGTTTACAACATTCATATTATACTATCCCCATTTTACAGATGAAAAAGCTGAGACACAGAGAAGAGAGAGGAAAATTATCCTAGATCTCATGTCCAGAAAGTGGAAAAGCCAGGATTTGAACTTATACTTTCTGGTTTCATAAGTACACTCTTAATTACTACTCCATATAACTTTTTCATAAGTCTCATAAACAAAATAAAAAAAGAAAAATACTTCACAGCATTACATGAAGAAAAATATTCCCACACTAAGATCTGAAAAACAATGATCTCTAACATCAGTTAATTATGATGTTGTTAACTCATAATGTCCTTTTCTTGCTTTTTTCCTTTAATACATAAACATATATATTAAGACAACGGTACATGATTTAATAGGCACATTGTTGCTTGAAATTGTGTTATTAAATCACTTGAAAAAGTAAACCATATGCATGAAAATGGAGCATTGACATAAACTTCAAAAACTTGCCAACCCATGATCTTTGTCACCAATTTTCCCATATGAATGAGAGTACTCTTCATTCCAACTAGCCTGACATTAATGGAATTTTTAAGAAGGAGTATTTATCTGTGCAATTTTGTATATTGTCCTAGCATGAATATGAAATTTAAGAACAGTTAATCTCCAGCTTTTCAGATCTGTTGCCGTCTTGTCCTTTTTAAAATGAAGTATATATTTCCTTTACCTATTATGAATAGCTTAAAACTTCTGGTACAGAAGTATGTGTCCCTAAGATATTTGTTTATGGAGGAGTAGGGAAGGTACTAGACATTTCTCATTCTTTTTCGATCTTTGGTCTCTGAATCTCCTAATTTGGGGAGAATTCCCACCTCTCAGGAGTCTTGATGGAACAGAAACTAAAGCTAGAAATGGGCTTTGCCAGCTGGGGATGGGACCATCCCTCCACCAAACAGAGGCTCCTGTGCCAGAATAGCCAATGCCTAAAAAGGGGAGAGATTATTAAGAATCCTCTCTGGGGGCAAAGTGCAAGTTTGACTAAACTCATTATAGAGGAAATATATTTCAAAGTATCTTACGTCTAGGAAAATACTTAAATGTAGGTCACCTGAGCGTAGTCTGAACAACCCGGAAGGCCACGGATGAAGCTGTGCACATCACTCACGGTCCACTTCTGAATATCCGCATCCAAAGACAGAGTCTCTCCTCTTGTAACCAGTACATGTGTTCCTTTACAATGGAAAGACGATTATGGGGTGGTATAAAATTTCCAGGGGAAAGGACACTAAGAGCACTGTTTTATGTACAGTTACATTAATTTCCTCACATTTTATTACCACAAAGTGAGCCTTTTATAGAGATCTACATGTAAACTCCTTCAAGAATATTAAGAGTTATTGAGAGGTGTTTTCTAAAAAGCTTAGCTGACTCTTTTCTGTTCTTCCTCTGAACAGGGATGGGGAACGTCCAATCCGAGGGCCATATAAGGCCCACGAAATCATTTGGTCTGGCCCTGCCAAGACATTAGCAGTGACTTGGGCGGGCTAGAAGAGTTCGATGGGGGGACAACGGGGGACATATGTAATACTTTCAATAATAAAGATTAGAAAAAAAGTTTGACCAAATATAGAAGGCTAATTTTTAAGTTGATAATTTTGTGTGGCCCTCGAATAATGTTATAAGTATCAAAATGACCTTGGCAGAAAGAAGGTTCCCCACCCCTGCAAGTCTAAAAGCTCTTTAATGACAACATTATCTTAAGTAAACAAAGAAGTTCCAGAGCAGCTTCCCTCAGATTCCAATAGAAATGCCCCATGGATTTCATTCTGGAGACTAACACCACCATGGCCTATGACGTTTTGCGATTTGTCATGCTCTCTAGGCAATGCGGGGATTTAGTCAAAATGGCAAATTCACACTTTGTAAGGAAAGCAGTTGGTCTGGTGGCTAGATCACGACCCCCTCCCCCTCCAATCCCTGTATTTTAAAGTATTTTTATCTAAAGAAGTTCTAGAAAACTAGAACTTTAGTGTTTGGAGGGGAGAAGTGCATTTATATTTTTAGGTCAGAAGGTATCATTAACAGTAATGGGCACTGAAAGTTAATGCTTCTGTTTGTCTATTGTTTTATACTTCAATACAGATAGAATTCATACCTTTTAAGCAAGAAGCCCCTCTATTTTGTGTTGAAGAAATTAACAGCAAATTAAATTAAATTTTTGATGAAAAATTCTGGTAGGTTGCCCCATCTTCCTTATACTTGACCACCTAACCTTTGCTGTAAATTCTCTACATAGCTATATATAGAGAGATTAGTTTCACCGATCTGGCTTCGTGGAACTAAAGTAATAAAATGACTTCAAAAAGAGGTCATTCTAAATGGGATTAAGAAAATAAAGGATAAAAAGAAGCATGATGGTTTTAATTCACTCTGTAATTACGTAAGGACTTGAGGATCTGTGGTTCATGAGAATCTGCCATTGACCTTGCTCCCTGGATACCCACCTGGCAAAGATGGTTGAGGAACTGGAGGGTAAACCCCATTCTTTTCACCACAGGCTGCAAAAACCTGCTCTGAAACCTCCTCTCTCCCACCATCCCAGGCCTTTGCTTCCATGGGAGCGTCATGAGCTCCCCAGGGTTCTCTGTGGGTGGGCTCCAACTCTCCACAGGTATTGGCAAGAACTGCAGTTGGCTTTTCGTTGACTTCGCTTGACTTCTGGTTGTTGAGAGCTTCCGTTTCTGGGTCTTTTGCATACTCATCCTCTTCATAGGGAATCACATGAACCTGGCCTATGGATTTTTCTTCTGCTTGATTTTTGGAACTCTCAATATCACTGTCTAGAACTTTCTGATTCCCCATACCTCTCCTGAGGCGACGACATTTCTGCCCCCAACCCTCTAGATAGCGTGGACCAGTTGCCACTAGGATGGGGTTTCCATGAAGACTTCTCAGGGAGCGTCTGTGCAAGTGCAGGTCACCGGCAGGGAGCATGCTCCTGCCATGGCAGGTGGCTGGGCCACTGGGGATACTGGAGCCATAGGGGAATGGTACCCTCAGGCCTGCAAATCCTTTGGGATTTATTTTGTCTAGTCTCCTCTGCTGGTAAATGGCATGCATTTCCATTTCCATCCTAAAACAAAACAATGTATTTTATACAACCCAAGAAAACCATTAGAAATAGAATTTTATGGTGATGGAAAGAGACTTGACTTTGGGTGGTGAACACACAATACAATATACAGATCATGTATCATATAGAATTGTACACTTGAAACCTATATAATTTTATTATCCAGTGTCACCCCAACAAATTCAAAAAATTTTTAAAGAAATATAATTTTAATGGCCCTCTGCCTTCCCTAGCACCTCTGTTTTTCTTGTGAATCTTCACACTATCTGAAGTTTGTTGCATGGAAACACAAATCCCCCATAAAGCCACCGAGAAGAGAGTTTGGGGTAAGACCTGAGGGTGAAGGGCATGGCTGACTCTCACAATGGTAGTCCAAGGCCAGTCTGTAGAGACTTACTCTAATAGATCTGACAAATTTAAGAAGTTGGCCTGTTACATTTATATGCATTTCTACTAAAATTAATAATGCAGCACAGGGCAGTTTCTTGCCAGAGATTAATCCTCAAAGGAACTAAAGTTCTGGAAGAAGTTTTTAAAACCTGCCATACAATTTTAGTGGGACTCAAGAACCACAGTAAGTCAATGCAAGTCTCAACAGTTACAAGTTACTGCAAGTAACAGGGGTTCGGGTGGAGGAGGGTGGGCGGACTTGGTGTTTTGCTTACTTTACTTGGCTTATTGGTCATCACCTGGATCCGTTAGGTTCAGTGGTAAGAAAATTGACCCTTTCCCCACAGCCATACCCTAGTCATCACTGTTATCGTTCCTTTCTCCTGGTGGCTACAACTAAAGGGCCCTCATGGCTAACATGGGGGGCTGCCTGGGCTCTGCTGATGTCTGAAATAGGAGTGGCAAACTTGGCTTCTATCTTTGAGCAGAATTGAAGTCATTTACGTAAAAAATGCCAGTACGAATTTCAGAGGAATCACTGCCAGGCATTTTAATCATGGGACATTGACAAACTATTATGGTCTGTAAACTTAGGTTCACTATGTAATTTCTAATCTTGCTTTTATCTTTAACCAACCAGTGTGTGTGTGTGTATCTATCTATCTATCTATCTATCTATCTATCTATCTATCTAGATAAATAGATAGATAGATACACACACACACTCATATATATATATTTCTTTTTTGTAATATTCTTGAAATATTTTTCTAGGTAATCATAATTTATCAGAGTGTGTGTGTATATATATCTACATAGAGAGATGTATACATAGATATATACATATATTCATTCAGAATGTATATAAATATATATACACATATAACAACATACACAAATACAACAATATACAAATATAATAAATGAATGAATGTATATATAAAAGTACATATAACTATATCTATTTACCTATCTAAAACAAATGAATAAACAAACAAGTGAATGAATAGAAAATAAATAAAGCAACACTGTTACATTACCTGGCAGTATGCTGCCTTTGAATCATTTCATTCTTCCTGGCCATTGCTTTTAAGGATTCAGGTGGTAAAATGCCCCAACCTTAAGAAAGAAAATCAACATCCCGCTCCACAAACAAATTAATAACATCCATTTGAAAATAATAAAATAAAGTATAATGATTAAAATAGTATTTGCAAAACCACTAGTTGAGCACAATGTTGGAAACAGTAACATTGCTAGTCAGCATCTTAGAGTCATGTTGGTGAGGGCATCATGATAACACTAGACACTTTTTTTTTCTTTAAGGTTGGTCCATGATTGGTGACATTTCCTGCCATCAGAAGGAAAGATATAAAATAAGCTGTGGGTCTCTTGATCTCTTGCTTTCAAAGTAAAAATTGATAGCTTTCCCCCCGCCCCCCCTTTGGTACAAAAGGAATTAGTTGACCTTTAAAAAAATGTAACTAAGTGTTTCTTGATGCACTGAAATCCCTGAAAATAAATGCATGAGTTAAGAGGATAAAATATATAGTTCTCTATCTGGACTTTTTGGTGCATCTGAGGAAAATACTTTTTCCTGAACAATTTCAATGGAGTGGGGTAGCAACTGTATTCTTTGTGTCAACCTACTAAAATGTCTGGAAATAATGATAGCATAATCAGAATTCAAGGCTCTATTCTTGACTAGTAACATAACACTATATTGATTTTTTCTTTATCTGCACTCCTAATGCACCTAGCATCTATACTTGTGTTTCTCAAACCATCTATGGTGAGATAATTTTTTCCTTTTTAAATTTTCAATCCATCATGGACCAATCCTTTTTAAAAATACAATAAAATGATGTTTTAGAAAATGGAAACAAAGATAAGAATAAATACAAGCAAAAATGTTTTAAATCATTAGATTAATAGACATAAAATTACCCTTCAAATTGCCATGAAAGTTTCTAAGCCCTTACTCTCCATTTATACATTTATTTGTACCAACACTTCACAAACTAGCACAGATCCACAGAGTACATTCTAATAATAATAAATACACAAATTGCATTTATTATACATAGCTTTGTTCAACTATATTTTTACTTGTGTAAATCTGTTCTCCCCAAAAGGAGGATAAGTATCTCCTTATACTTGCTCAGTATTGAGCTGGTAGAGCTCATTCAACGATTAATAACAACCTAACTTGAGATAAAGCACACTATATCTTTTTTGAGGTTCTTTGTCATTTTTAAAAATCAGAGGTTAGATGAGGTGATCTCGAAAAGTCCCGCTCACTCTAAAGCTCTATATTTTTATAGTTGAGTAGCTTCAAGATATTCTCCATTAGCTGGCTGACATGCATGAGAGTGCCCAGCTCATGGTGTACTGCCCAAGGATGCAGAGAAAGTCTGTGTGAGAAGTCCAGAGTAGAGAGCACAATTCTTTTTTTTAAAAAAATATATTTTATTGATATTTTACAGAGAGGAAGGGAGAGGGATAGAGAGTTAGAAACATCGATGAGAGAGAAACATCGATCAGCTGCCTCCTGCACACCTTCTACTGGGGATGTGCCGGCAACCAAGGTACATGCCCTTAACCGGGATCGAACCTGGGACCCTTCAGTCTGCAGGCCGACGCTCTATCCACTGAGCCATACCGGTCAGGGCAGAGAGCACAATTCTAATGACCTAGATTTTAGGACCTTTTGAAATCTAGACTCATCAAACCTATTCCAAGTTTATTTCTTTTTCCCAAATAAGTGACCTCAAACTTAGTGCTAGTCTAGCTGCAATAAGTCACTCCCTATCTAACATCCCTATTTTTGAAATAGATCCCTGTCTTAACTTCTATTTTGCTAACTGACTTAGAAGCCCAGTTCCTATAGGACTGAGGGCCTACCTTGCCTGTGCTTATTTTCCCAAACATCAGCCTTGCGGTGGGGACCTAACCTATGGCCTTGGGACAGGCGATCAGCCTGCCTGTTTGTATCCAAATATTGGCAGTTTCTGAATTCTTCATCTCTAAGAAGGACACTCTGAGTCTGTGGTCTATTTATCTGTTGCCTGTAGCCATGGCTTTACTATTTATTGGGTTCTTGCTGTCAGACGGAGCTTGCATCCAGAGTCAGCTGTCTTATTTGGTCCTTGGGTCACTCCAGTGTGGGTGTCTAGTTTCATATCTGGTCCTTGTTCAGACACCCAGTCTCACTGCAGTGGACCCATGTATTGTGGTAGCTCAGATCCAGGCAGGCCAGTGTTTCACTGGCCCTGACAGCAATCATATTTCTTTTCTGGGTTGGGCTTTTCACTCCATTGTATCTATTGAGACTTGTTGGAATTGAGAAGCAGGGACAACCAGAAACTCTCGAATATAGTTTTGGGGAGATAAGATGCATCAGTTTGATCTTCAATATGGTGAGGAAATTCTCACCTCCTAGTCTTTCTTTCCCCTACCAGTCATGTTTTCACTGCTACCACGCTACTAAAATAGCTTTTATAAAGACAACCAATGACCTCCACATAGCCAAATCTATTCATATAGTCTTAAGTTTTCCTCTACTTGATCTATGACTGGCATACTTGACACAGTTGCTCAATTTCTCCTTAAAAAATTTATTCCTTTGTCTTCCAGGCTTCTATACTCTTCTGGGTTTCTTCCCACTCACTGCTTGCTCCTTCTATTTCTCTCTTGCTTGTTCCTCCACAGCTTCTCAACCCTCTTGGTATGTCCCAGGGGTCATTCTTTTAATGTCTATCCACATTCACATTTGGATGATGATCTAACCTACACTTATGTATTCTGATAACTTCCAAAGTTACGTTGCAGTGTCTCCAGAAGTCCTCCCTGGACTTCAGCTGCCTTCCTGACACCTCTCATTGATTATCTATTAGGGATTTCATTTGTAATGTGAACAAAACTGAGCCTATGATATCTCTTCTGCCCCAAGAACTCTTCCTCTCACGGTATTCCTCAAATCAGTATATAACAACATCACCTTTCTAATTACTCAGACTAAAATTATTTGTCACTCATCTCACCTCTCATATCTAAACTGTGAGAAAATCCTGCTGTTTACCTTCAAAATAATTACAGAATCCAACCACTATTACTATTCCTACTACCACCACCTAGGGCCAATCCATCAAAATCTTTCAACTATTCTAATAACCCATTTACTCCCATCAACTTATTCCCAGAACTTTGTCCTGTTAAATTTGACCCCAAATAGCAGCCAGAGTGATCCTGGTAAAATGTAAGTCAGACCATGTAACAACCTTTTTAAACTCATCAAAAGTTACCCGCTCTTACTCAGAATAAAAGGCAAGTCCTCACTATGGCCTATTAGGCCACATATAAACTTCCCTAAGCCCCTTTAATTCTCAGATCTCATCTCCTCATGACCTCATCAGTTTCTTATATGTAAGACAGATAGTAATATTGCAGATTTTCATGTTATTCATCAGTAAATTGATAGTTGGAGAAGTGAAGCAACTTCCACTTGGTCACCCAGTGGTGGAACCATAATTTAAATATAAGTAGTAACTGCAGAAACTACAAGTATAAGTGCTACACCCTGCAGCCTCCAGTTCACAGCGGCTCCATAGATGAGAGCCATCGATTGCTCATACCTGAGTAGACACGATTGGACATCATGTTCGGCATATTTGCATTTGGTTGAACAGAGGATCCAAATTGGTATGGAACACAAAACTGTCTTGGGTCAGTTGGAGCCATAGTGGAAGGCAATACATCTCTAGGGAAAAAAATATGAAATAGATAAAAATGAGGATGTAACTGTACAAAATTTCCATTTCAGAAGCAATGAGATTTTGTTTTATTGCCATATTGGATTCTATCATCTCTTCCCAAAATGAAGTACAGAAGTCCTGCACTCTCTATTGGTTTAAGTAGAAATAGGGTAAGGAAGATTGGAGGAAGGACTCTACGAAGGAAGAATTGACCCAACTGACAACAACAGAAAAAATAGGAAAGAAAAGTTTTAGGGATGTCTGAAAGAAAAGATCTGACTGTCCATGACCAACATAGTATTCCTTTAAAAAAAAAAATGTTTAACAATCTCTGAACTTTTTATTGGCCTTCCTCCCCTCCCCCCACGCCAAGGAGTTCTCTGCTTCTACTGCCTTGACACCTCAAAACTTTGGTGTCATTGACCTCAGACACCACTTTGCCACCCACAATCCTGTGGGTTATGGTCTTTTGGATGGATTGAGTGGAGTTGCTGTTGGCCAGGGTGTTATCAGGATCAAAGTCCTTCCCTTCTTCCAGCAAGAGGGTGGTAGATGGCTATCTCAGCTTCCAGCTTGACCTTGATGTACAGCAGGGTCTTATAATTCTAGCGCTGAGCTGCCCCCCGTCCTGGTATGGGCCAGCTCTGACTCCAGCTGCAGCAGAATCCCACTGAGCTTGGCATACATTTGCATGGCATAGCATGTCTCTACTTCCCTCAGGCTGTTCTCCGAGGTGGCCTTCAAATCTCTCATAGAGTCCAAGGACTGAGTGTCATCTCAGGAACTCCTATCTCAGTGGTCTGCAAGGTGACCACTGTGGTGCTCTCTTCAATCTGCTGGGACCAGTACTTGTCTAGATCTCTCAGTTCTTCTGAGCCATCTGGTCATAGTGGGTCCAGATGTCCACCATGATCTTACTGAGGTCCTGAGATATGGGAGAATCAAACTCCACAGTCAACCCAGAGTTGATAATCTGGTTTCATAGACCATTTGCTTCCTCCCAGTGTTCCTTCTTCAAAAAGAACAGCTATTCCTTGAGAGTCTTGATCTCTGTCTTGTCTCCAGCTGCAACCAAGTGATAATGATATTATCACTGACCTTTCGAAGCCCATTGATGTCATTTTCCACAGACTGGTATATGGCCAGCTCTGTCTCATACTTGACTCTGAAGTCATCAGCAGCAAGACTGGCATTGTCAATCTGCAGAAAAATGTGGGCATTGTCCACAGAAGTTGCAAAGATCTGAGCCCTCATGGCCTAGAGAGTCTCTAACCCAGGGTCCCTTCTTCTCCAAATGTTCCTGGATTTTGCTCTCTAGCCTCCAATTATCAACTTCTGGGATCCTCATCCTTTCCAGGTAGGAGGCCAGGTGGTCATTCAGGCATTGCATAGTCTCCTTCTTGCTCTAGATGCCCCCTATCCCCACCATGTCCCTGACCCCCAGCTACCCTGGACCCCCAGCTACCCTGCATGCTCATGGAGAGAGACACAGAGATCCAGGAGCCCAAGCGCCCAGGGCCTGCATAGATGCCGGCCATGCTGCTGGCCAGCCTGGCTGGTGGTTGGGCGACTTCATGGAGCCCATGGTGGTTGAGTTTGTGGAGAAGCTTGAATGGGTGCTGAGGTAATGTTGTCTGGGAGGACGATGAGAGGCCATGTCTTGGATTTGAGCCACCCCAACATACTGTTCTGACCACAACATTCTTTTCTCATTTACTGGAGATATTTGACTTGGGTTCTGACATCTGGAATCAAAGTTTGATTTCCTGGGTAAATAATTTAATTATTTTGCCAAACTTCAGTGCTCTTTGAAGTCAAATGTATTGTTTCTGCTTCATGAACAGGAATAAATAATAGATGTTTACTCTCTCCTCAGAATATCAAAATATTCTAAAGAAGGTAAAATAAGAAACTGCCAAAGTGTGCTACATAAATATTGATACTGTCACTTTTATTGAACAGAAAGATTTGTTCTATCACAGGAAATCCAGGGTATCCAATTATTATGAACTAAATTGTGTCCCCTAAATCCATATGCTGAGGTCCTACTCCACAATGTGACTGTATTTAGAGATAAGGCTTTTAATGGGGTAATTAAAGTTTAAATGAGGGCAAAAGTGTGGAGCCCGAATCTAACAGGACTGCTGTCCTTATAAGAAGAGGAAGAGATACCAGGAGTCCACAAGTACAGAGAAAAATGCCATGTGAGGACATAGCAAGAAGGCAGCTGTCTGCAGGCCAAAGGAGAGAGGTCTCACCACAAATCAACCCTGTCACCACCTTGATCTAGGGCGTTCAGCTTCTAGAACTGGGAGAAATAAATTTCTGTTGTTGAAACCACCTAGTCTGTGATATTTTGTTATGGCAGCTCTCATAGACTCTACCAATGTTCGTACCTGCACAATGCTTGTCGCATGGTAAAAGTGCTTGCTAGCTCTTTGCTGAACGTGTCAAGCAGGCCTCAAAGGGGAAATGATGGGAAGTGTGTTGAAGGTACAGTCAGCAGAGTATCTTGACATGAATTATGGTACCACTGTTCACTGAAGTAACATTAGACCATAAAGCAACACTGAGGTTAAAATCATCCAAAAACTTAATGATTGCCAGAGGCTAAGACCGACAGTAGTTAACATATTAATGCGATATTCATCAGGGCTGAAAATCAGCATACTATTACCCTGCTGTTGGCCAAATGGCTCACGCAATCCCCTAACCTGATAATCCTTTTACTGTTTACCAAACTTTACCTTTGATATGCCTGTATGCATTCCTAAAGGGCAAATGTGTATTCAAGTGAATAAAAGCAAACGGGAAGAGAAGTCAGGGAGCCTCTCCATTAGAGAAAGGATTCCGCCTGGCCCCCCATGCCTTCTAAATTCATAATTCTTGTCTAGCGCGTTCGTTTGTGCGCAGCCCCTTCTCTAGATCCTGAATCCTCGCTGCAAAAGGTTGTGGCAAATGATTATCATTGTTCTCCTTTCACCATAATATTATGTTGGAAACAAATACCTATCCACAGGCAGAGGTTCAAATGGTGAGGGAAACAGTGGGATCCTTTGCTGCCCTGATGCTGTCAATAAAGGGTTCATGGCCGTCGTGGGATTTATCATCAATATCTCGCGCCACTGATGGAATTCTAAAAAGAACCAGACAGATACGTTAATAAATAACGCTACTTTTTGAGAACTTTTTGAATTCTTCTTAACACAATGAACACCTTTTGTATTTTCCCAACACTTGGGAAAACTAGAAGCACCAAGCTTTCAGTTTCACAAAAACCCTTCCATTGTCAGCACCCAGATACAACTGCAGAACTTAGTGTTTTATCCATGTGCCCTTGAAACTTGTTGCAGCGTCCACAGGTAATAGCACAGCACATTACAGGCAATAACAAAATTAAATCAGCCCTGCAAGATTCCAGAAATACCAACTTCCACTCTTACAGCTTAATTTGATTTGTGTGTTTCCAGAGGTAAAAATGCATATACTCTCTTATGTTCAATCTTTGGAAAAATATTCCTAGTAGTTGATAAAATTAAAACAAAAAAGAAGGGGGAAATCTTCTTAATGGCTAACAATATGTCTAATTAGAAAGGATACAGGCTGAAAGCATGAGCCTGTATTTAATTAATATAAGTGACCAAGTTATATTCAGACATATAGAAGCACAAGGATTCATAACTTTCTCTTCAGAGCATAGGGATCAGAAAAAGAGACCCTTGTTAAGGGGATAATATTTTGCCTTACGTTTTCTTGTTAATTATTAATGTCCTTTGGATAATTTTAAATTTTAAACAAGTATGGGTCAAACAGGTTATTTTAGCTTCTCCTGCATCTTCAGTTGTACTCAGAATCTATATAAATAGCCCTAACCGGTTTGGCTCAGTGGATAGAGTGTCGGCCTGCGGACTTAAGAGTCCCAGGTTCGATTCTGGTCAAGGGCATGTACCTTGGTTGCGGGCACATCCCCAGTGGGGAGTGTGCAGGAGGCAGCTGATCGATGTTTCTCTCTCATCGATGTTTCTAACTCTCTATCCCTCTCCCTTCCTCTCTGTAAAAAATCAATAAAATATATATATTTTAAAAATCTATCTATCTATCTATATATATATATATATATAAAGAGGTAATATGCAAATTAGGCCAGGACGCTGTAACGGGTCACGACCTCACAGGAGTCACAGGAGGAGGTTGCCCGCGCAGGTGAGGCCTGGAGCGGAGATGGAGACAGACACGGGGGGCCTGCCCAAGCTGGTGCAGTGCTCTGGCAGCCCAGAGCACACAGGCAGAGGGCCAGGGGGGCCTGGAGCTGGCCGAGAGGCCACGCCGGCTTGGGCAGCCCCAGAGCGGACACAGGCAGGGGGGGCATGAGGCAGAAGTCAGGCGCGGGTACCAGCCGCCTGACTCCTGCGGCAGCCTGCGGGGTGCCTACTCACACAACTTAAATTGTGCTAGGCCTCTAGTAAACAAATAAACCAACCAACCAAGAGACCTACAACTATATTTGAAAAAAAAAAAGGAAATTAGGAAGAAAAATTCTGCTTTTCAAAGTAGTGATCTTTCATTCTTTCTTCCTTTCTTGTGTACATTTGATTTAAATTTTAAATAGTTAATACAATCATAAGATTCAATAACTAAAAATATACAGTATTTAAATAAGCAATAACTTCTTTAGCTTCTTTATCAGACAGACCTACTGACAAAATTGTAAATTCAAGTTCATGGGTCACTTAACATTTGCTTTCGCCATATATCGATAAATGTTTTAATGCTTTTTGTGTTGATTTATTTTCACTGTATTTCTGTCAGGATTGGAATAAAAATATCTACTAGGTGCCTGCCAGCCATGGTGAGAATGCCAACAAAGAATGTGGGCTGGGCATATGTCAGACATGGCTTGCAGTTCTGGCAGGGACGCTGCCCTGTGGCTTGGAATCGCAGGCCCTCCACATGAAACTGTGTGCACAGCCACCTTCTTCCCTTAGTCCAGCACACAACAGAATGACGTGGGATCCAACCTGGTGGTTCATTCAGAAACATTATGAACTTTTATTTCTGTCACAAGTTGTCTTTTGAAGAAGTTTGAATTTACCAATGAATGAGATAGAATCTTTGAAATTATAAAATGCAGTGCTCATCTTGCATTTTATGGGATGCTTGAGACAAATCAGGAGGAAGGGGAAGGGAGACAGGGAGCGGTGCAGAATTCCTCAGGAGCAAGGATTGCCTAGAGGTCTCTTCCTCACACATGCCAACTTAGGGAGATGCCATGGAGATTAGTCACCACAAGTAGATGAGACTGTTTTATTTGGGATTCCCCTTAAGCGGGCTTGGAGACAAGAGATTGAGTGCAGGTAGTTATTTGAGAGGTGATCCCAAGAAGCCCACGTAAGGGAGAGGGAAAGTGAAATGAGGAAGGGAAAAGCCAATAAAGGGTGAGTTATGTGTGAGTTACTACTGTGGGCGACTGGTGCTCAATCCTGCCGGGGACCTTCTAAGAATCCATGTCGTATACACCTCAGAAATGTCCCAGTGAAAGACAAAGATTCAGCTATTTACCCAGCAATTCCTGTCAGCACACTTCTCCCTCACATCTGGGTTATGCCTGACCTTGATCCAGCAAAGTCCTATGGTGCAGAGGAAAGCCTTCAGACTGAGAAGCTGAGCGATGCAGGTGCTCAAGATGGAAAATGACCTCCATGGTTGCAGGTGAACTCAGAAGAGAACCAAGGGGATGTAGGACAGGGCGGCATCAGTGCCTAGTGCAGTTGAGACAAAGTGGTTACCTTCTAGTGTCATTCCACTAGATAACCGGCACAGATACCTTTCTTCTGGACTGCCAGGTTTGCCGGGCACAGGCATATTTCTACGAGGCTCTGCAGGGTCCATTGTCTGCAACAACACAGCAGGATTTTCCCCCCCTGTTAGTCACATGTTCAATGAAGTAAGTGGAGAGCACAGGCTAATGGAGATAAAGAAACGAGGCAACAGAGACAAGTCTCACCTAATTTAAATATAATTTAAAGCCCTTCTTGATACCATATCTGTTCTGGGTTCTATGGTTCTTGGGTCTGGCTTTTTCTCTTTATGCAATGCCAAGGGAAATGAATGTAATCTATAAAATGTTGTTACACTTTTGATATGGTAGTTTATTATTTTTTAATCAATCCAATCCACCAAGTTTTTACTTAAAATATAATTTATTTCCAATTTCTAGGGAAATATCCCCATACCATGGAGGTCTCTGGAGAGGACAATGAGTCCCTGGCACCTGCCACATCTAAGTGTTATGATTCTGAGCTCCACTTGGCTCTCCTAGTTTCTTTGGTGAGGGAGTGTTTCTTTACTTACCGCTATCATGTCTATTGCTGCCCAAATTTTCTTTAAAAAGCAACAACATTGCCTGGTATTATAGATTGAATGTTTATGTCCCCCTTCCTCTCCCCAAATTCCTATATTGTAACCTAATCCCCAATGTGATGGTGTTGGAGGTGAAGTCTTTTGGGGGTGATTAGGTCATGAAGGTAGAGCCCTCATGAATGAGATTAGTGTCCTTAGAAATGAGATCGCAGAGATCTCCCTGACCCCTCTGCCACATGAGGTCACAACAGGAAGATGCCCGTCTGTGAACCAGGAAGAAGGTCCTCACCAGACACTGAATCTGCTGGCACCTTCATCTTGGACTTCCTGCCTCCGGGGATTTTCTGTGTTTATAAGCCACCCAGACTACAGTATTCTGTTACAGCAGCCTGAATGGACTAAGATGCCTTGTTTTTTTTTCAGGTTATGCCTGTTTTCTTTTGTTTTCCAAAATTATACATATATCTATATATATAAAAGGCTAAGTGACCGTCTGACCATCCGACCGGTAGCTATGAAGTGCAATGATCACCAGGGGGCAGACACTCAATGCAGGAGCTGCCGAGAAGCGGTGACTTGGCAGCTGCGATTCTTGGGTGATGCACCCCAGAACCAGAGAGAAGGGAGCCTGATTCCGGGTGCATCACCCGGGAACCACCCTCTTGCAATCCGGGACCACTTGGGGGATGTCAGAGAGCCGGTTTCGGCCCGATCCCCCCAGGCCAGGCCAAGGGACCCCACCTGCCGGAGGGAACCAGCTCACTCCATAGACGCCCTTCCCTGGCACCAACCCAGGTGCGGCCGGCTGGGGAGGGATCAAGGGAGGTTGGCTCCAGGGCAGGCCCATCTCGCCCAGTTCTACCCGCCGGCCACCTTCTAATTAATTTCCTTTCAATGTGCATAAATCTGTGCACCGGGGCACTAGTATATATATAAATAATAAATTTATATTTATATTTTTAGATTCATAACAAAATTGAGTAGACAGTACAGAGAATTTGCCATATACCTCTCCCCCACCAATTTATAGCCTTCCCTGGAGTGGTACATTTGTTACAATTGATGAATCTACATCGACACATCACTACCACCCAAAGTCCACAGTTTACCTTAGAATTCATGCTTAGGGTTGTACATTCTATGGGTTTTGACAAGTGTATAATGACATAGATTCACCAAAATACAGAACAGTTTCACTCCCCTAAACCAAATTATATTTTAAAGCACATACTATCAGGACACTTCCAAGGAAATATTCTGGGATTGGCCAGATCTTTCTTCATCAGCCAGATAGATACGTGAAGCTCCAAATCTGTTTCTGCATATACACCATTTTGGAGATACTGCATCATGATTCTTTAAATACTAATTTTCACATTTTCTGGGCATCCTCTTTATAAAGAGACACACACACATAGACAAATTGTGAACCAAGGTCACTTTGCTATGGCAGATGAAATGCTCTTGATTCAAAATGCAGACTGGGATATCCGTTTTAAATGCGGAGCGTGTCTGGTAATCCCCAATGCGGGAGTGCCCTGTGCTTAGGTCTGCATTTGGCTGGATTCCTCTGACCCAGAGCTCTAATCTGGGATGCCCAGCACTTTAGGAGGATGAGGACTCCTTAATCTCTGTCTTCAGACTCTTACCCTCAACAAACTCCTTCAGGCAGCATAAAGGCGACTTAGCTAGTGCTAATTCTGTCTCAACTGATTAGGGCAGTACTAGTAAGACATGAGCTTCATGAACTGAAGGCCTTGCCAAGTCAGCAGATATTTACTGAAAGCTTGCATGGCGCACAGTAGCCAGCTGCAAATCTGATTCTATTTCATTTTCTCACTGAAATAGAATGAAATGACTATTCATTAAAGCCAGTGCAATTTGAGTTTGGCCACGTCTGATTTTGAGCAATTATGTAGAAAATATTTGTTGCATGTATGATGCTTGAATTCTAGGATGTATTCATTCTAAATAAGTACATTGTAAAATAACTGCTGTATTTGGTAAGTTTTTACATTAAAAAGGAAGATTAGGAGGATCAAGTGTTTCTACAATTCTTGAAAAAAAAAATAAATTCTTAAATTAAAATGAGAAGGAGATATCCTTAGAGGTCTTTTGTTTAAGGTATAAAACAATCCTCACATAGTCCTAAGTGTCCTACATTAATGTGAGTTCTGAAAAGCATGTTAATGCTAAAGCATATTTCACACTTCTTTAAGTATATTTTGGTTTTTAAAAATAATGCATGGGAAATCATTTTTAAAACTAGAAAGGCCAAAAGAGCTGCCCCAAAGCATTTCATTATCAAACTAGAGACCCGGTGCCCAAATTTGTGCATGGGTGGGGACTGGCCGTCCCGTCCCGATGGAGGCCCATTGGGCCGGGCCAGCGGGGGGTGGAGGGTTGGCTGGCCAGCCCCACTCCTGATTGGGGTGTTGGGGGCTGGGGTGGGGGGCCTGATTGGGGCCTGGATCAGGCTGGTTGGCTGCTGCAGTGCGCGTCATAGCCACTGGTCGTTCTGGTCTTTCTGCCGTTCCAGTTGCTGGGCTTTTATATATATAGATACTTCTAACAGAAAAATTAGCTGTGATAAAAGACATCATGCTATTTTCTCATAGCTATAGTTGGAAGTGTGAAAAACCTATTTTTATATCCAATACAAGAAAAGTTTTAGAATAGTTATATAAAATATTGTGTTAAATATAATAAAATACAAATTATTATAACAATATTCAAAATACATTTGTTAATTGAAATAAAGTTGAAGGTAAGACTAGATGAATAAATTGACATAAAATATTTGATTGTTCTAATTCTAGAATCACATATTTCTTGAGAAGATTACAAGGGAATTCTAAAATTACCCAAGCACTCATTTCAAGCGGAAGAAATAGTTTAAAATATCTCCATCCCAAATGTGCATCACAGTAATTTATAATAGGACGAAAGATATTGCTCCTTAAAATTTGAGTGACTGATATCACCTTCAGCCCTCATCCCACATCTTCCACAAGGCTTCTGCCCATTCCCGGGGATTTCATCCCTGTGGGCACTCTGTCTAAACATTTTTGCTCTTGTGGGGCTCCCAGTCTACCCCATGCCTCACTGACTCAGAATGCAGTCCATTTCTCTCAATATCCACATAAAACCACTCTCAGTGTGTAGCCGACTTTACTGAGGTTTTGGCCAATTGGAGTGGGGATGTGTGTCCAAAACAACTTAACATTGAACATGACTTCTCCATTCCTCTGGGTCATTTTGACAAGTCAGGCTCTGGTTTCTTGTTCGTTTCCTTGACCTTCTTTCAGCTGGTACCCCAACAACTCCAAAGCAATTCTCCCCATTTTGTTTTTCAGAGGCCTCTCTAGACCCTCTCCCAGACTCTGCTCTGAGGCTCTACTCAATGGGCCCTCCACTCTGGGTCACTACTTACTCCCTTCCTTCCCATCTTTACCAAAGATAGGAAATTTAGAGAGTTCTTTTCTACTGGTTTGAATTAAGCCACTAACGTCCCATTTTAGAAGGCAGCTAGACTTAATTTTGGTTTTAAATAACAATAAGCACCTTTTCTGTTATTCTAGCACAGTATACACAAAAATGAGTTATCACTGTAGTATACTGCCAGCAAAGACACTTAATACAGAAGCATTTGGCAGTGACTGTAAAATATATTTTACTTTTACTAGAGGCATGTGCTTTAGCACTTTCTAAACATAGCTCCTCACAGTGAATATACCCTGGAAGTGTTGGTGAAGGCAAATGGTATGTGCATGGTTCCCTCACCACTTATTTCTTTTCATTCTGGAAGCTCATTGTCATTAAATCCATCCACACCTTCTTAAAATGTAAAGTCCTAGGCACATTTGAAGATATTGTGCCACAAGGGATAAACCTTTGACATCATTAAGCAAGTAGAAATTATGTAATCCCTTTTCTACTTGAATGTAACAGATGTTATGTGCTATTACAATTTGTATAAATGATGTTCCCTTCCTTCAAAAGATTGTGAACCACAATCTATTACATACAAATTCGTACATAGACTAAAGAAATCCTAGCAGTACTCATATAGTTGAACTGAATTTCAGGTATTTTAGATAGTTGCAGAGAATGAGTTAAGAAATAGTAACATAAAAGATATTATTTTCATGATTATAATTGCTTATTCCTCAATGGTTTTTTCCCCTCTGAAATGATCTACTTTGACACTTCATGGCCCATATATTATGACAATTTTTGGAATATGGTTACCTGCAGTAATGGGAGGGAAGCCATTAAAATAATAATGTACAGTAAATATGTAGCAGTAGCACACAGAGGCAGGTACTTGATATATTTGAAGATGACAAAACACTTAAATTTCTATATAACTTTAAACTGACTTTATCTTTTAAAACTTCCTTTTGCCTTCACTTAAAAAATTAAGGCAAATAGTATTTATTTCTTTACTTGGCAGGAGCAGTATATTACCTTTACTTTTTAGTAGCTTCAGCCAAATAAGAACTTATTAGCTACCATACTGCTAGTAT